GCATCTTTATCACCTGTCTTGACTCATCCCAGTTCTTGTAAGAAATTATTTGGTTTCCTCAGTTCTTCAGGAAACTGAGACCACAAAGCTTTTGAGAGTTCAGGTTAAGAAGACTTTTTCCTACTTTCAGAACCAGTCTTCTTAAATAGCAAATAGGCTGTACTTACATAGCATGAGGGTGCCATATAATAGGGTATTAATGTTGCTTAGAGATCATTAATATTATTTAATAATATTATGTTGCAGTGAATGAGCAAAGGCAATATGCCAGCTTTTAAAATCTTGAAAGAATTATATGGCCTTTATCTGGCATTAGTTTCTTCTAATTCCAAGCCTTTTCCAATCTCCTTAAGTTAGTACCTTCCCTCTGAGATCATCTCCAATTTATCTCGCATATGTCTTGTTTGTACATGCTTGTATACATGTTATTCGTCCTGTAGATTGTGGGTTCTCATAATCTGTTTTTTCGCCTTTCTTTGTATCGTCAGTACTTTAGCATGGTACCTGGCATGTAGAAGGCCTTTAGTAAATTCTTAGTGACTTGACTTTTATCTGAGATTAGGACAGAGGCAAAGAAGGAAAACATGGCATGGACATTAATTTAAAAAATTCATGGCATCTATAAAGAGAGACAATATGGACTTTTTCAACAATCATCAGAATAGGAAGGTAGATTGGTTCAGTCATATGAATGCTAGATTTGGAGTCAGAAGTCTTGGGTTCAAACGTTTTGGGAAGTCATTTCATACCTTTTTAGACCTCAGGTTTTTCATCTATAAAATGAGAGGATTGGACTAGATGGTCCTAGTCCAATCAATTCAATCAGTGACCTTTAGTCAACACTAAATCTATTGTTTTGTGAGTTTCTGAAATACCAGGGGAGGTTCTCTCTAATACTAAAATAGCTATCAAACTTAGGGAGCCCATTATCTTGAGAAACAAAACAAGCTGTTGTACTGTGTGGATGGCTGAAAGGTTTAGTAAGTTAATGGATAATAGTGCCATAAAAGATCATCAGGGAAAGTTAGGGTTGTTAAGGGGGATAGATATCACTAACCTTTTGTGCCAGATTTCATGGAGGGCAAGTATACTTTCTTCCATAAAACTTTCCTTTGGTGTGGCTGAATAAGTTGTGGTATATGATTAATAGTATGAGTATTATATAATAATATATAATTGAGTAATACTATCGTGCTATAAAAGATAACGAACAGGATGGTTTCAGAAAAACCTAGGAAGTCTTATATGAACTAATGCAAAATGAAGTGAACAGAACCAGGACAATATTGCACACAGTAACAGAAATATTGTGTGATGATCAATTGTGAACAACTTAGCTATTCTTAGCTAAATGATCCAAGACAATTTGAAGGACTTAGGATGAAAAAACTATCCACCTCCAGAGAAAGAATTGATGGAGTCTGAATGCATTTGGAAGCATACTTTTCTTTCTTTATTTTTCTTGTTTTTGTTTTTTTTAAATTTTTTTGGCCTTTGTTCTCTTTTGCAACATGGCTAATATGGAAATATGTTTTGCATGACTGCACATGTATAATTTATATCAAAGTGCTTGCCTTGTCAAGGAGAGGGGAGGGGAGGGAAGGAAGAAAGGAAGAAATTTGGAACTCAAAAATTATAAAAAAATTAATGTTAGAATTATTTTTATGTGCAATTGAGAAAAAATAAAATAAAAACATTCTAAAAATATACAACCCCGTGGACAGCTAGGTGGTGCAGTGAATAGAGCTCCAGCCTTGGAATCAGGAGGACCTGAATTCAAATTTGACCTCGGACACTTGACACTTACTAGCTGTGTGACCCTAGGCAAGTCACTTAATCCTGATTGCCTTACTAAAAAGAGAAAAAAAGATAAAAAAAGAACCCCCAAAGATATCAGTTTTTCAAAAACATAAAAACAATTCGCTTGATGTGATTGTCAGATTGGATCACTGGGCTGGATGTGAACTATTGATCTGACCCAGCGGCTAATTCTTACGTGAGGGAGGTGAAAATCACATAATCTTAAAACAGCAACCCTGAAGGGTTAGCTAGATTGGAAACTGATTGGACTAAACCCACAGATTTCCTTTGTTTCATAAGATCTTTAGAAAACAAGTACCTACCATCTCCTTTAATAAATTTTACCAGTTATATTAACTCTTCCAACCAGGAAACTCTTCCTTGTGTCTACCTAAAACCTCATGGTTGCAATTTAAGCCTTTATAGCCTCTGTGGCAAGGATAAATAAAGGCGCACCATTCTCCTTATTACAATCATATATATACTTAACGTCTCTAATATCTCTGTTCTTGGAGTTCTTCAAAAAAACCAATAGAAAACTGTAGTTCTCTTGGATGGTATATACATTTGTTTGAAGGAGGAGACTTATTGATATGATTTCTCAAGGGTCCTTCCAGTCCCAAGATTCTGTGGAACAAATATTAAATTAACTTACTTGAGGTCATAGATAATCAAGGATCATAAATGGAGCATGGTTCCTTGAAGCCATCTAGTCTAACTCTTTCATTTTACAGATGAGGAAACTGCATCTCACAAAAGTTAATAACAATATTAGCTAGTATTTATGTGGCACTTTAAGGTTTGCAAAACACAAATGTTTACTCATTTGATCTTCACAACAACCCTGAGAAGCAAATACTATTATCATCCCCATTTTGAGGCTAAGCAAACTGAGGCTGGTAGAGGTTAAATGATTTGCCCAGGAGTCACACAGCTACTAAGTGTTTGAGGGTGAATTTGAACTCAGGACTTCCTGAGTCCACTGTGCCACTTTGCTGGTGAAACAATTTGCTCAGTGTCACACAGGTAGTAAGCGAAAAGCAGTGCTCTTTCTATTGTACCATACTTCTTCTCATATCTAGGTTAAATACTCCTAATTCCTTTAATTTTTAGCCATAGTACCACTTTTGCATAATAGTCATTTTAATTGTTTTTACATTTTCCTTGGTTTGAGAATCTCATATATAATTGCTATTATTCCTATTTTATATAAAGAAAGAAATGGACTTTAGGAAAAGTTAGATGACTTTTCAGAATATTGTAGCAAATTGAGATGAAGATAAGGTTAGCCTCTGAGTTCCAGTTTGAGGCCCAAGTGCTTAACTCAGTGTCTAATTTAACTGTCTCTATTTCTTTTAATCTCTTAAAAATTTTGCTTGAGTCATATCTTTTGTTTTATAAGACTGCTTTCTGGTGCAGTTAGTAATCATTCTCTTCCCAGCTGAAGATCATTTACCATTTCTCTGAATAGTGAATTACATTAATGATGCAAGGCAGGGAAGTATGTCAATATCAGATATAACAACTACCAGTCACTCAGATTTGAAACACTGGCAATCTATACAGTTCTAGCCTTGAAATTGTTAGAGCACAGAAGTTCATTACATTTAATGATCAAATGTCCCCAGATTTCTAAAAGGAGAGTTTATATTAACCATTTACTGTGCTGAGCCTTAATGTAAACTTAAAACTTAAGGGGTTAATTCCCTTAAAGATAAACTGGATGGGATTTTCATACATGCCTTATATTTATAAATATCCACATGCTGATTTTTTTTTAATTCAAGGAAGCATGCTCCATTTAGACAGCTCTTCAAATAAATTATGTCCTAACTGAGCAAATAAACAATAAGTAGCTGGAAGTACTTTGGCTGTGTGTGGAAAAAGCAAGGAGTAGAATGGCTCAAGGCTGGACCTCTTTCAGAAAACTCATCTTCATATAGATACTCATTTCTTCAAGCCTGAGTTCCACTGTAGTGGTATCTTATAAAGCAGTAACTGAACTTATTCCCTTTTAAATAGTGGTCTGTGATTTTGGGGGGGCTAAAGGTGAGTAAGAAGAGAATAATAAAAAAATTTTTCCTGATACATAAAATCTGATTCAGACATATCCTTACTGTGGAAAATATCCCTACTGTATGCAGGAACTCTAACAGATTAACTTATGATAAGTTAGGACATGCTTGGCTTCTTTTTATTTTTTTTTCATCGGCCCTAAAAAATGTCTATTACAGAACTTTGGTCTTAGTGTTGAAACACTAACCCTCACCTAAAAGCAAAGCTATTTGAAAAACTTCATTTTGGAATCACATAGTGTACTTACTTTGTCTTTTGAGTAATATACTACCACTTTCCTCAGTCTACTCAGCTTTAAGATATTCCCTTTAAAGAATCTGTTGTAGTACATCAAAAGACATTGTCAGCTTTCATCGGCTAACCCTCACCAGTTGGCGGCCCATTATTACTATTATTATTGCAGTGACTGTAGGTAGCAGTAGGCTGCATTCCAAACATATGACATCTTTGGGGCAAATGCTAATGGGATTAAAAACACTTCTCCCATCCTCCTCCTTTGGGTCATTTTCTCCAAGTCAGACTCCCAAGTGCTTTATGTTGAAGCCAAATGATGAAGGGGCTCCATAGCCCTCTTAATGGTAGCAGGCTTCAGAATTCAATCATGTCTTTTTCCTTAGAGGCAGTTTTCAAGCTCACCGATAGCACAAGAAAAATTTACCTGGTACCTCTTTCTCCTTGTATTTTCTCTCATTCACCCACTCTCAAGAAACCCTGGGCCCTGTTACCCAACTATGAAACAAATGGAACCATGGGATTTTATTTCATTTAAGAACAAAGGAGAATCAACAAATATATTGATCAAATATGAAGCACTATATAATACATTTTACATACTTAAACAGGTTAATTCAGAAATGCCTATAAAGGATTTTGCCAATTAAGTTATGCCAGTGAAGGACCAAGAATAGTCTTGAGATGGGTTACAGTCTACTGTTTTCATTGTGAATAGAAAAGTCTCAGGGTTGGGTTGGATTGGGGGTATGGGGTAGTCATTCCTTATTATTCTCATTTTTCCTACTTCATTTTTCCTAAATTTTGTGATGACATCCATGTTCACCAAGATTCTAGTTTTTGGCATCGTAAATCTTTTTTTTTCTCTATTTCTTTTCTCTTTCCCCTCCTAGACCCTAGGCAGGCACAGTCATCCCCTCCATGGTCATATGAGCAGTCATACCCATCCTACCTGAGCCAGATGACATCACCATCCATTCATTCTACCACCCCTCTGTCCTCCACCCGGGGTACGGGGCTTCCTGCCATCACCGATGTGCCCAGACGAATTTCAGGTAAAGATCATATTTCAACTAAAACCCAGAAACACATAGTGGCATAGTGGAGATGGGAACAAGGTGGGCTGAGATGACCTTGTATAAGCTTAGAGTAACTATCTGTTTTGAAGGGGAGTGGGGAAAGGTGTGGCAACATGGAAGTAGCCTCCAAAATGTGAGTGTCAGGTACCCTTAAATTTTAAGTTAGCAAGAAATGAAAACTTATCAAACATTAGTGTCATTTTCTTGAGATGGTACTTCCTTAGCATTTATTTTATTATCTTGCTAAATAGCATTCACTATGGGAAACACTATTCAATAAGTAAGGTTCCGTTCCCCCCCCCCAGCCTCTCTTACCCCAAGCCTCCTTCTACTTGTGTTACTTTCTTTGCTTTCCCCAGCTAAACACAGGATTACAGATTGATGACATAACCCTCTATTTATTTCTTCTTTAGGTCCTAAACTCTTCCTCTTTTAAAATCCCAGGAGTTCAAGGAAGCCAGTTCCCTGAGAACTCATGTGTGCTTAAGATTCTTATCAGAAACTGGTCTAGTCACTTCAGGGTGCAGAGTTACTCTGCAGACATTGAAAAAAAGTTATGTGGCCTCAGACTGATCAAAGTATAGAGGCAGCTTTTTCTTAGGAGTCCATACAAAACATATCATGCTGGCACTTCTGCCCCCCCCCCCAGTCATGTACACAAGTCCCCATGCTTCCATTGTCTGAAGGGCACTGCAAAGACTCTTGGGACACAGTAAAGTTGCCTATTTTAAATAGTCTGGTGGTCCTCTTTATCTTGGATAATCCATTTTTTAAATCACCAGGAAAGGTCTCACGAAGACTGCTGACAGGCAGTAAGAGAAAGGTTGAAGAGCCTCTGGCTAAACGACAGCGTGTATCATATGAATCAAGCGAGTCTCAGTTTTCTAAAACAACAACAAACAACAAACAAAGGCCAGAAAGAATTGGATTCTGTGTCTGACTTCCTGTGTTTGCCAGACACTGTTCCCCATCCAAGTATGCGGGCCCCATACACCTGTTTGACTCCTGGCCAGGTTAATTTCTTTCTTTCTTTCTTTCTCTTTGTGTCCCTGTCTCTGTTTCTCTTTCTGTCTGTCTGTCTCTCTCTCATTTTCTGCAAAGTTCGCAGCCGTTATTCACTCCGCTGAGTTGCATCACTGACAAGTTGAACCTCCGCCAGCAGGCTTGCAGGTTTTGATTAGTTCAGACTCCCTTATTTCTTTCAACTTGGGAGGAGGGAAAGCTTTGTTTCTCAAGCAAATAGCAGGAAAAGTTCTCTCTGGTCCTAGTGCACACCATATTTTCTACGGCAGATGGATTCTCATGGGGGTGAGTAGGGAGGGAAGTGGGGTTTGGGGTGGAGGGGGACAGGGTTCTTTGGAAAACATCATGTTATGTTTTTTCATTGTTACAGTTGGTATTCATGACATTTCTGAGGAGTTACACAAAATAAAGACAGATATTTTCTCTGTTTATTAGGATCTCTAGCTCATGTAGGCAGATAAAAGGCAAAGAAGAAAGATGAGTGCTTAGGTGGGTCTGAAGGCCGAGTGTATGACAACATTGAGTCTGTACTGACTTTTTTCTTTTTTTTTCCTTCTGAAAGATTAGTTAGTTTTGAACAGTGCCATATTGGTTTGACCTGTGAAGACTTCTTCTGTTTGGGTCCCCTGTTTCCATCAGCCTGCCCAGCCAGCCCTTCGCAGCTTAAACAGTTAGGTTTGGCCCTGTGGTTCCCAGAAGGACCTGGAAGGAGAACCTCTAGATGGGAATAGAGTAGCTGGAAACTTAACTACCTGAGGGATTTCTTTATCAAGAGTATTGCTTGTATGGTTCAAATCTGGCCTCAAACCAAACACTTGACACTTACTAGCTGTGTGACCCTGGGCAAGTCACCTAATCCCAATTGCCTAAAAAAAAAAGAGTATTGCTTATATGAAGCATTGCATATATGAATAAATGCAAGAAAGTAGTAAAAAAAAAAGAGAAAAACCCAACTACCCACTACTAAGAAGACCAATAATGAAAAGAATCCATATATGTGATAGTTAAGACTACTTGGCATTTATATTAGTTAGATTATTTTCAAACACCTTAAAGCATCAAGAAATAGTTACATATACACATTACCATTCTACAGCGAAGGAAGGTGGTGCCAGAAATTGACTCATTATCCAGCCTCATATTGACCCAGGGCAAGAGTGGAGAACAGGTCTCTGCTTTAAACTAGTTTTGAACTGAAATTAGTCTAGTTTCTTCCCACCTTCTCTAATATTTCCTTGAATCATTATAAGGGAAATACCTTAATGCCCAGGTGAGAGGTGCTGTATAAACATTTAATAAAATAGAACAGAAAATCCCTCTTGTCAGCATATGGTGTAAAAGGAAGAAACAACTGGACTTAAGCTGTCAGGAAGCTGGAGGAACCCTGATACATCCAGCCTCGTTTCCAGGTGGGGAGCTATGCCAGGACTGCAGAGTGCTTACAGAGAGTTACACTGGGCAGAGTTACTTGGTGTAACTGCCATTTTGAATTCTCTCAGAATTGTTCCTTTGCAGTCTTGGTACTCTTTGTAACCATCTGGAGATCGCCATGCCCATTAAAACCATTTCTTTCAGGGACTCATGTGAAAATATGATAAATCATGTATTTCCTTAGGGATATCCTTAAGGAAGTCTAATATATCTAGTGCTATCCTTGGGAAGACCATATCATAGGACTCTTATAAGTGAGACTACCTTATAATGAGATAGTTCAATAACTAAATCTCTTTGGATGGAGTAGACAGATGATTGATAGATAGATAGATAGATAGATAGACAGATAGATAGATAGATAGTTATAGATGTGCCATATTGTTGGTTTAGTAATCAGTTATTCAACCCTTACTGTGTTTAAACCATAATGCATAAGGAAGCCTTAGTTTAAGTAACTCTGACAAACAAAAATCTAAACATTTAAATAAATAAATTAGAGGATGACTGTGTATTAAAAAAAAAGAATTCGCCATTGGGTTCCTTTAAATACAGCCCCTAAGTGCATTTACATATTTGCTTATTGGCCATCCTTTCAGAAAAAATAATTTTATTTCATCATATTGTGCCCTAAAAACATTCCCAGCACAGTCATATTGAAACCTGATGCTGAGGTCCTAGTACTAGGTCATTCCTTATTGATTTTGGTTAAGACAAGGGAGTGTCAGAATAAGGAAGGGAGAACCACATACAACCCCAATCCGTCCAATGTCTTCATAATTGTAATAACGTTATTCACATGATATTTTTGATGCTCAAAGCATTTGTGACATGACACCAGGGTTTATAATTATTTCTCTGAAGGTTATTACTAGCTACTACCTAAATAAATAATTGCTGACTTTTCAAAATGTTTTTTTTATGGTATTACCCTACTTTGAAAAGAAACACTGTGTCTTATTTAATCTGATTCTTCAGCTTGGGTATCAGAACCTAAGCTCTTGCAAACTACCTGCCAGGAACCCTGGGCATATTTATTTGGGGGTGGGGGGAATGTATGAATGCCATCTTTCATCCACCCATGAGAGTGAACACATGTAATATAAGTAGATACAGAATATATCCACACCCATGTACACAGGCTACAGATGGTACAATGAAGTCTCCAGAACATGGTCCTGTGAACTGAATGATGGTCTTCAAGGATTTTGTAGTATAGTGGAAAGAGCACTTGATTTTTCATCAAAAAACTTGGGCTCAAATCCCAGCACTGCTACTTCCTACCTGTTTGACTTTGGAAAAGTCATTTCCTTTCTCTGGGACCCAGTTTATTCCTCTATAAAATGAGAAGTCTGGACTCTGGTCTATAAGTTCTCTTCAGTCTTTAATGCTCTTTCCAGTTCTAAATCTTGTGATCTTATGCCCAACTCTGACACTTTATTGTAGGTCTCTCTGAGATATGTAGGGAAGAGGCAGAGTTAAAAGTCAATGGGCTAGAAAATCCAGGAAGGAATATTTTAGATTGAGTAGAGAAATTCTTTCTCCATTCTGCAGGTGGAGGACACTCATTCCACAACCTGTAGGGAGAAGAGAAAATCCATATTTTTCTGTTTGAAACAAACACTCTTGCATCGTGTCTCCTTTTCAAGATGTTTAAATATGAAAGCAGAAAAACTTAAAAATCTAAACATTCATCAAACTCCTACTATGGCACTTGACAAGTGGGTTAAGGGAGGAAGCAACCTAAGCAACCTATTCACAGATGTATATAGGACAAAGAAAATCCGATTAGTCAATCGACCAGCATTTATGAAGTAATTAATTTGTGCCATATGGTGTGCTAGCCAATGGGAATACTGAGATAGAAATGAAACAGCCCCCTGCCCTTAAAGTCCTTACATGTACACATTTATAAGGTAACACAAAATCCATACAAAGGAAAGGCACTAACAGATGAAAGGAGTAGGAATCAGGGGAGAATTCATAAAGGAAGTGACCCTTGATTTGAACCTTGAAAGAGAACAAGGATTTTGAGAGGCACAAATGAGCAGGGAGATAGAATATTGAGTTTGAGAAATGGTTGGTAGTCCAGTTTTGCTGAAACGTAGAATTCATCAATCATTCACTTAGAAAAATGAATTAAAGACTACTGTGTGACAGTCATTATGCTAGAAGCTGGAGGACACAAAATCAAAAAATAAAACAATCTGTGCTCTCAAGGAGCTTCTTTCCATTGAGGGAGACATGTACATATAAGTAGATACAGAATATACACACATATATAAATATATATATGGGTTTGTTTGCATATACACAAATATACATATGTGTATGTGTGTATATATGTGTGTGTATATATATATATATATATATATATATATATATATATATATATATATAATTTATATATTAACTAGAAGACCAATTGGAAAGCTATTACAATAGTCTAGGTGGGATTTGATAAGTGGTGGCTTTGTGAGTAGAGAAAAGGGAAGAGATGTGAGAGAGATTATGGAGGCAGA